GAGGGAGAGAGAGAGAGAGGAGGCCCAAGCGGGGGTGTGTATGAGAGAGAGGGAGGAGGGAGGAGAGAAGAGGGGGGGAGCGAGGGAGGGAGGCTGGGGGAGGGGAGCCGGGGAGGAAGAGGAGGGGAGAAGAGAGGAGGAACAGGGAGGAGCTGGGGGCGGAGAGAGACACACAGAAACGGAGGAACGGAGACGAGTGGAGGAGGGGAGAGGGGACGAGGGGAGGAGACTAGCCCGTGGGGAAAATAAGGGAAGGTCCCAGGGGCTGGACTTCTGTGGCCTTGAAGCGGGGGCGTGTTGGAGGCTGGGGGGCGTTGCACCTGGGTTCTGAATCCGGGATCTAGCTGATGAGGACTCTGGCCGCTGGAAAGCCTGGGTTCACAGACAGCTTAGTTCGTATTTCTTATCCTAATGACTCCCCTCCCTGTTCTACTTAATTAAAACCAGGAGAGGGGGGTTGGGGGGATAATTAGGGAGGTCTCCAGCCGCTGCTTAATGAGCCAGTAATTAACCAGCCAGGGAGGGAAGCTGGCCTCTGGCCAGACTGGGGAGAGTGGTGGCCTCCGGCCTCACCCTCCTACCCTCCACCCCGCCACCCGAAACACCAGTCTTCAGTCCAGAGGGGAATTACATTTATTCATATAACCAAACATCAGATAGCTCAGAACAGCAGTGGGAAGGGAGGGTGGGCAGGGCTAAATGTCCATTCACAGCCTGTAGGCCCCTCAGTCCCGGGGCTGGGTGTGCCGGTGATGGAGGTAGGAGAACAGTCTTTATGTCTTTGCTGTGCCCTCTCTTCCTTTCTTCTTACTGAGAAGGAGGGTGGAACTGTCTCTCAGGTGAAAACCTTGGGAGATTTGCCTTTCCTCTGGGAAATGAGCCCTTCAGATCCTGCCTGGTGGCTTGACTACTGGGGATGTCCCCACAGTTCAGGACCAAGACTCCCAGCCACTCCCTGAGATCAGAGGAGAGGGTGAGGTGTCCCACTTTGGCTGGGATCCTCTCATGGCCTCAAGCTCCTACATACTTGGTCATGGAGGGAGTTAAATGTCCATCCTACCTTGACTATGCCCAGGGTTTGAGGATTTCACCCGCTCCAGTTCCCAGGAAAGGTGGATGAGGGCGATGAATATTGAGATTTCTGCTGGGTCTTCCAGTCTCTGGTGCCCCTGCCTGGTAGGGTTGAGGGCATGCAGTGGGCTGCCCAGCTTTTGAGCCACAGGAGTGCAGAGGGGCTGGTGGGGCTCAAGTCTCAGCAGGTGTGTGTGGGGGGCTGGGACCTTTGCTCCTCCATTCGGCCCCCACCCTGAACTCTCAGCAGCAACTCCAGGAGCTCCTGTCCCCCTGGGGGTAAGGGAGGCTCTGACCGCTGGGCTTCCATCCGCTGGCTCTGGAGGAGTGGAGGGAGGGGAGGTTGTTGGTGAGGTTCTAAGAGGAGCAGGGCTTGAAAGGAGCCAGGGCTGGTGTGAGGGGCATATAGGACACCTGTGATGGGGGTAGGGGGAGTAGGACCTGGCGGGGCAGGGGGGCAGATGCCTGAGGAGAAGGAGGGGTAGGACTCCCAAAGAGAAGAGGGGCCAAGAGACCAAGAAGCCTGGGTCTTGCCTCCTGGTGGGGAGGGGATGGGTGTCTCACCTGGTGAATGAGGATGGTGCTATAGAGCTGTTCTCTGTCCTCAAGAGGCCGGGGCGGGGCTTGGCCTAGGCTTGGACGGTTCTGGGGGGGATGGAAGGTGGCCCTCTGCTCTTCTAGGCGGCGGGACTGGGCCTCAGCCACCAGGTCCAGAAGGAGCTCAGTCTGCAGGGAGAGCAGGGAGGCCGAGCGGGGCCCCAGGGCTGGGGAGAGGAGGGGGAGGGCTTAGAGACCCAGAGAATTTTGCAGACAGCAGTGGTGGATGTGTGTGTATGGGGGGTCAGAGCTAAGGGGGTGTGATGGGGAGTCCGGAGGAGGTGGGGAGAGAGCCCATGATGGATTGAGCCTTGGTCATGGGATCAGGAAGGATGTGGGCACCAGGGTCAGGGAGCTCCTTGGGTGGGTGGGGGTACCTGTGTGACGGGACCCTGGAGGAGGAGGGGACGGAGGAGCAGATCGCCAGGGCCGATTGCTGGTGTTCACAGGGGGCCAGCCATGCTCATCCTGATGGGGGCCCTGATGCTGAGAGACATCCGTTCCAGTCAAGTGGGGGTGGGGTGGGCAGAGGGCTAGGCCAGCAGCCCATTTCCTCTCTCTGCGTCTCTGTTCCTGCCTCTGTGCCCAAGCCTATCCAAGTCCCTTGAGTCCACCATTACTCAGTCTCTGCCTCAGGTCCTTTCACCTCCCTCTCTCCCAATGCCAGCCTCCCCAACCCGGTGCCAGCTCACCTGCTCGCCATCCTCTTCTTCCTGGGGTCTCTCAGCCTCCATCCCCTGGAGGGGAGAAACCGATGGGGGAGGGGTAGCTGGGATTTGGGAGGAGGGCCGGAACCCTGAGTTCCTGAGGGGAGTAGGGGCTGAAAGGGGTGGGGGTGAGCCGGGGGCTGGATGCCTGGGTACTGAGCAGGAAGCTGGGTTCCTGGTCAGCACCCCCCCGGGCCCCGCCCATCCCTGTCAACTTCCTCCAGTTCTCTTTTCCCACCCAACGGCTTGCTTGACCTCTCTCGCCCCAGGGGAGCACAGAGACTGGAAAAACTCCTCCTGCTGCAGTAGGGATGGGGGTTCAGAGGGGGAAGGACTTTTGGCTTTCTCATATCCAGAGCCTCAGGTACCCCCTAACCTCCTGCTCTGTTCCCTCCACCCCCCTCCTCCCCTTCAGTTCTGTCAACACAGGAACTAGCTACAGAGGAAGTGGTTTCACTCCTCAGAATCCCCCCACCCCCCCACTCCTTACCCCAGGTACCTTCCCTAAGAAGGACCTGCCCCCTGCTTCCCAGCTTCCCTCAGACTTATTGGGTTGGGGAGGGGCATGTTTCCAGTGGGAAGCAGAGGACTCAGATCCAAGGATGTCAGGCCCTCAAACATACATATACCCCTAGCACTGTGTCTAACAAATATGTGTTGAATAGTTATCATTGCCCTATACGTGCTTAGAGTCTATTTAGGGCACAAAATATGCACCAAACGTAAGAGACGCAGGGGAAGCTTTCCTTTCGTCATGAAATGGAAAAGGGAGAGGGGACCACAGCCTGACCTGGTCTTTGATCAATGCTGGTCAGGCTGGCTGGCACCAAGGTGGGAACAGGACAGAGACATTTGGGACCTCTAAATGGCAGCCTGTCATGTTAGCTGAGTGACTGAGCATGAAATATGATGAAGAGGTCAGGTTCTGCCACTTAGTGCTTTGCAATCTTGGGCAAATACAATCTCTGTGCCTCAGTTTCTGAAAGAGTAAAATGGAGGTTTTTTTTAATAGCGTTGATATGAGGATCAAATGTGATAAAGCATTTGGCACATAGTGAATGCTCATAAATGGTAGTTATTGTTAGTTTTCAATATGCTTCATGTCTCCGTGTCTCAGGTCTATCGCCATGAAAGAGATATAACCATATTGTTGAATGGTGGTTAAAGTTTGAGGTGCTCTCTCCATCTCCCTCTA